GTGTAGCCTCTGAAGCTCCTGCCAACGGGTTTGTGGATGTACAGATTGCTGTGTGACCTTATGCAGAATACTCAACTTCAGTTTTCTCATCTCTAAAATGGGAGTTATCCCCTTCAGTAGATGAATGGATTAAAAAAATGTGGCATATATACACAATAGAATTTTACTCAGCAATAAAAGAGAATAAAATCATGGCATTTGCAGGTAAATGGATGCAGTTGGAGAAGATAATGCTGAGTGAAGTTAGCCAATCCCCAAAAGCAAATGGCAAATGTTTTCTCTGATATAAGGTGACTGACTCATAGTAGGGTAGGGAGAGGGAACATAGGAGGAATAGACGAACTCTAGATAGGGCAGAGGGATGGGAGGGGAAGGGAGAGGGCAGAGGGTTATCCAGGAAGGTGGAATGTGATGGACATCATTATCCAAAGTATATGTATCAAAACASGAATTGGTGTGAACATACTTTATATACAGAGATATGAAAAATTATGTTCTACATGTGTAATAAGAATAGTGATGCATTTCACTCTCATGTATTTAAAAAATAAAAGCAATTTAAAAAGAAAATAATTAAAATGGTAGTTATCATAGTAAGCTGTATCATAGGCTTGCCATGAGAATTAAATAGATTAATATATTTCATGCAGAGTCATACATGGAATATACAAAGCACTAGAAAGTGGTGTCTGCTCTCATCATTATCAGCATTACAGTTATCATTGTTATTACAGGCAATGGGTCACATTATCCCACCTATCTCCTGCTTAGCTTGGCTTTTCACCAGAGGTGCCCAGGAGCTTATTCACCTGGCCTGGAATGAGATCTTGAGCTAAACCTAGCAGCTCTGTTTTAAAGATTTATTTGCTTTGTTGTCACCGTGGAGATATTATAGGCAGAGGCACAGTCCTCACTCTGGCCCAAGGATCTCCCTGACTTTATCATCCACCAGGGAACACTCACCTCCCACCTTCTCTGGGCCACTGGGAACATAGGGTTAGGACCACAGGACTCGCCACATTCTGGTTCCATCTAGACCAGCAGCTTTTCTGTCAGCTGAAATTCCAAGGTCTTCTCTGCCTCCTGCAGTGGATTTCATTTTCCTTCCCTTTAATCCAARCTTCATTTTTCCTTCATTACTGTTACAGCAGGGGAAAGAAACTGCTTAGTACCCTATCTCCATGTTACTCTCACCTCCTGATGAAGCTGAGACCCACCTCTACCTCATGATGCAATTGTGAGAAGCCAGTAATATACATTTTTAAAAAGAAACGTATTTGTTTCATGCAATTGTTACTTAGCTTCCACTGCAACAATATATTTGCCTCTGTCGTATTTGCTGGGRAATGGAAGGCTATGTTTTCATTTCTGTCTCCTTGAACACCTAGCAGTGAGTGTCATACACATATTAGGACTTTCATCCATTCATTGGAAAAACACTGAGCATAGTAAACCTATCAAACCCTGTCCTGGGCTTGCAGTTTGCTAGTTTGCTGTAGTGAACAGTCAATCCCTGCTTTGTTTGAGGAGTTTGCTAAACTGGTCTTTTCAATTGCGCTCACTCTGAATTCATCTTGCAGAGGTAGCTATATATGCAGTTCATCTTACCTCCAATTGTGCCAGGAAGTTTCCCTGGCATGCAGCCTATGCAGCCTGTCTTACTTGTCTGACAGAAAAATATTCTATGGTACCTGAGATGGGGCTAGTGGCATGTGGTTGTGAGTATTCCAACACCCATTTGGGGCATGTTCCAAAGATGTGTGTTTTGTTTAAGCATCTATATTATCCACTAGCTTGTGAGCCCTGGAAAGYAGTAATTATTTATTTTGCATTTTTGTATTTCCCTTTGCCTTGCAGAAATAGCTCAGTGCCTGAATTTAGCAGATGCTCAATAACTTAAGTATTAGAAAGATAAAAGAGTGGAGAAAATGGTAACATTTTTTAAAAAGACTTTTTGTATTTTTTAGTTGTAGATAGACACAGTATCTTTTATTTTATCCATTTTTATGTGGTGCTGAGGATTGAACCCAGTGCCTCACACATGCTAGGCAAGTGCTTTACCACTGAACCACCACCCCAGCCCCGGATGGTTACATTTTTTGACTGGTGGCTATAACAAATATTTCAAAAAAATATATTGTTTTTATTTTTGCTGTTTTTTTTTTTTTTTTCATTTTAGCAAGTTCTGAGTAAGGGCCTACCACCTGCTATTATTAGACAGGCTAMCTAGTATCCAGTCAGAGCATACTGCCTCACCTTGAGTATACAATGTTCCATTCTGTTTTTCTCTTTTATGTGATTTATAACTTAAGAAGCCTTGGGGCAAATGGGAAATGCATTGTGAAGTTATGGGAACGATCCACTTTGAACATTAGCCAGCACTTGTCAAACAGCTGAATTTGATATTTGTCTATTAAATCCAGATCTTTGGGTTTTCCAAACTTTCCTCTTTCAATGTGAATTAAATTAAACCTTGAGCATYAAGAGGAAAAAAATGAGAAGTAGCCAGTTTGTCCCAATAGGGGCAAGATGTCGGTTTCTGGAATAACTGTTTATTCTATATTTGAACTTTCTGTTTAATTGGTTGGAAAATTCACCTAGTAAGTTAGTCTTGTAACCCATCTCTTTTGCATAATTTCTGGCAAATCTGCTTAAGAAAAAAAGTGCTTTAAATTGCAGTGTTTAGTGAYATAGCTGCAAATTCTAGCAGGTTTCCTGCATAATACAGTAACATTGCTATTATATTAGAAATTCAAATGCACCTTAAATAACTGGATTAGCCCTTGTAACTAACTTGGTTACATAGGAATCTTAGTTTCTACTGTTGAATACCACAGAAGTGACTTTATGAATACTATATTAATATAAAAAGGCAAGGACATTGAATGAGCCTAATCCCTAATCTGAAATTGCTTCAGAARTCCCTTTGGTAAAAAATACTCAAAGAATCATGGGCTAGGATGATGGCTCAGTGGTAGAGTATTTGCCTAGCATGTGTGAGGCACTGGGTTCGATTYTCAGCACYACATCTAAATAAATAAATTAAAACAAAAGTCCTCAACAACTAAAAAAAAAAAAAAAAAACAAAACAAAAACAAAAAAACCCCTCAAAGAATCAATCGTAACTCAAAGAATTAGACAGTATTTTACTATTAACCACATTACATTTATTTGAAAGCCAAAACAACATGAGCAAATATTTTAAAACACATGCATTTTAGAAAAATGGCTTCTGTTTGGTTTTTAGTCCATCTGATTAATTTTACACAATGAAATGCCATTAAGTAATGATAATGTGAACTGTATGTTAAAAMTATGATGTATAACATTGTTTTAGAGAAAGAGACATTGTAACTGAAAAAGATATGTTAATACCATAAAACCTTAAACAGAAAGTAAAACATGTTATATTTTATACTATTAATATGTTGCAGGTCTTTGAATACTGAGAAGTAACAGTAAAAAATTCACATACATAAACTTTCTGAATATGATTTGTCTGGTTTTCTATATAAAATGTCAGACCTCATTACAGAAAACACTTTTCACTTATCTGTTTAGGATCATAATTTCATTTTCAAATATAAGGCAATTATTATTTTAGAAAGCAGCAGCTCTTGCAATTTTTTTAAAAAAGCTCTTAGCAGCATGTAAAAATGAATATTACAAATAACTAAGTAAAACAACTTTTACCATTAAAATATTAGTATAATTTTAAAATGAGACCCCTTTCTTTCATTGCAAAAAGAATGAGGGCTAAGGCTTTCATCTCAAAACACTCCATCTGAGAATACTCAGGTTTGCTTTAGCTAATAAGTCATAGAGGAATGCATCCCATTCTATCACTGGCTGTGTTGAAAGGACACCCTCCATACCCAGGTAGGAAGTGGACAGGCAGCAGAGTCAAGTCAGTCCATGTATTCATTTAAACACCCTGTTTTTTTTTTTTTTTTTTTGTACCTAGCCCTTTCTTCATGTTTTATTTTGAAAGAGGGGTTCTCCAAGTCCCTAGGGCCTTGGTAAATTGCTGAGGTTGATCTTGGACTTGAAATCCTCCTGCCTCAGCCTCCCAAGTGGCTGGGATTACAGGTGTGTACTGCTGTGCCCTGACCCACCCTGCTTTTAATTACAAAGAAGCACAAGGGATGCTTTGACTCTGTCAGTCCAGCATAATCCTTATTGATAACTTATAGACCATGCAGAACTACCATGATGGCTGTGTTTTACTATTTTCTTCGTGTAAAGATTTATGCAATATGTAAATAAAAGGCAGCAAAGCAGTATTAAGCAGCATCAGGATTTGTAGCTTGAACTTTTATAAGCTGCTACACAAAATGTTACATTTAAAAATTGAAAATGTATCTACATTTCTTGCCATTGGAGCAGTTTTATGGTCACCTGGGATTTTGAAAGGAAAAAAAAAAAGTCATTTATTTTGTATCACATCCAGTGAGATAAAGAGATTCAACAGGCAATATTTGAGATTCATGTGTAAGGCATTGGTGACCAACAGACATTCTACATTAAATGTGCAAATTATTATGTATAATAATTTATACATAAGATGTATTGAATGCGGGTTGGTATAAGGATATTAATGTCCCTATGATGCTGCAATCTTGGTTAGCTGTGGTCCTGGTCAGCTTTTTTTCCTGATAGTCTGATCCTGCCTTTAGATACACACAGCTTCTGATTGTCCATGTCCAGGAATAAAAAAAAAAAAAATAACATGTAATATATAAAAATTATAATAAAAAAGAATACATGTTTTATTTTGTAATAAAATTGAATTTCTTGCTGAATCTTTTATATACTTGGCAGAATGGGCTTTTTTAGTTTGTTTGTTTTGGGGGGGATTTTTTGGTACCAGGCATTGAATCCAGCGGGGTACTCAACCACTGAGCCACATCCCCAGCTATTGCTTATATTTTATTTAGAGACAGGGTCTTGCTGAGTTGCTTAGGGCCTCACTGAATTGCTTAGGCTGGCTTTAGACTCAAGATTCTCTGCCTCAGCCTCCTGAGCCACTGGGATTACAGGCATGCACCACTGTGCCTGGCCAGAATGAGGTTTGGATATTGGTGCACAAGTAAAAATTTCCTTTTACAATACAATGTAATATTTCTGTCTGTCTACCCTTTGGTCTTTACAGAWGAAGTATATAATTATTTTTACCAGAAGTTGAGTTTGCCTCCTACTAAAGGACATATTAATAGAGAGAGGAAAGGGGAAAGGGCTAGAGATAGAAGCCAGGTCCCAAYAGCAGTCTGCCATTTCACTACCTATAGGTGTGGGAACTCTGGATTCATGTTCCCACATCCCAGGGCCACAGCATTAAAAAGCTTATTTGTGTGTGCTTCCTTGGTAAATGGTCKTCGCTTCTCAGAAGGAATTCCCAGGCCACCGGGTCGACAGATTCTGAGCTGAAGCACATGTTCTGACTGTGGTCTTGGACTCACACTCTCAGTCTGGCTGTCAAAGCTTACCCCCAATACAAAGAATCTGCCAAAGCAGAGACATATACTTGCAAATAATTGAGGGTTAACTGTAAGCCTAAGGCAGCTTTTTTCCATTTTTTTGCATTAACCATAATTGATGATTGGCTGTGTCTCTCTATCTTGATGAGCGTTGTGGTGGAGACCTTTCAAAGTACATGAAGTCCTGAAATTGGAAAAAGAATCACATGTTGACAGATGGAAGTACATAGTTAATCATATAAAATATGTACACTATTATCCTTTATAATTTACTAGGGAACTCTCCCATTCCTGTTACAATAAATACAACTAATGAAATCTTTATGAAGAGGAACTTTATGCTAACAGCAGCAATTAAAAATTTGGAAATGTGGTAGACAATAAGCTTTCCATTTCCAGTAGTGATTAACAAAACTTTATCATTAGAAGGAGGAAAAACTTAATAAATCTGAGAATGGTACAAYACCAGGAGTAGACTGACAGGCACTGAGAACTAGGAAAAGGGCATTGGCTTGGAGCTATTTGATTTCACTAAAAATCCCAGAATGTGTACTATGAAGTAGTGAGAATGATAAATAATAYGAAAKGATGTAAAATCCATTGAATGCCTAATATCTTCCAAGCACTCTCCTGACTACTTTACTTGTGTGAWAGCTAATATCCACACCCTTAAAAATGTAAGTCTTTTATCTCTATTTATACACGAGGAAACTGAAGATTTCAAATGCTAAATGCTTTGCAAAATATGTACCTAGAATGTGGCACAGACATAACATAATTCTTGAAACACTGGCCAGAGCAATTAGACAGACGAAAGAAATTAAAGGGATACAGATAGGAAAAGAAGAACTCAAATTAACACTATTTTCTGATGATATGATTCTATACCTACAAGACCCAAAATATTCCACCAGAAAACTTCTAGAACTAGTAAATGAATTCAGCAAAGCAGCATATAAAATCAGCACCCATAAATCAAAGGCATTTCTGTATATCAATGAGAAATCCTCTRAAAGGATTTCTACGCCATTTACGATAGAATAAAAAAATAAGATAAAATAAAATACTCAGGAATCAACTTAACTAAASAGGTGAAAGATCTCTACAATGGAAACTACAGAATGYTAAAGAAAGAAATTTAAAAGGACCTAGAGATGGAAAGATCTACCTTGTTCTTGGATAGGAAGAATTAATATTGTCAAAATGACCATACTATCAAAAACACTATACAGATTTAATGCAATTTCAATCAAAATCCCAATGACATTCTTCATA